GCGAGCTAAGCTAAGCTAAGCTAAGCTATACTTCTTGTGGTTTTGGTGTGTTTTTCTTAGATATTTGAAGATAGCAGCAACCAAAAGTAGTCTCACCTTTATTTCACTGTGAGATGAAGAACCATGCAGTGATTATGGCTGCTCTATAGAGCTCTTCTTTTTTAGTCGGGTAAACACTTAAAGGTGTAAATCAATATCTGAGTGTATCTTTTAGATTCTTATAACAGGACTAACAAAGAACAACTTCTAATAATCAGCAGCAGCAAAGTTTGGGATGCCCTTTTCTTTTATTTTTTTCTTTTATTTTAGTTCAAAAACAACTCAAACTCCCATTCATTATGCTCAGTCTCAGTCTGTGAAGACAGATTATTTTAAGATAAGGTTGCTGTGTGCAACAACAAACCAGCCTCAGCTCAGAACACACCACGTCTCTCTTCTCTTGCTGTGCTTCACTTTGTTGTGCAGCGCTAGTAGGAGAGAACTAATTTGCTTTTAATAACTGGCTTGATATCTCACAGTTCGGTTTCAGAGGCAGAAATTACAATACTCTGAATGTGCTCCGCTAGATAATTTTAACATTATTTTTTCTGTGTACAATACCACAGCAGCTGAAGAGTCGGCCATCTTTTGGCTGAAAGCCATTTACTCTGTGTTTATGTACTCAGGCTATCGCTCCTCACACAGGTAGGGCCTCTCGTTGAGTGCTCTCCAACTCATGCTGATTTCATGGCTCGGCGGTTTGCCTCTCGGAGCCCATTGGTTATGCACCAATGGATTTGGACTCGACTGGTTTGCGGAACAGGTTTGAGTGTTTATTTGATTTGCATTTTTACGGCGCACTACCCAAGCAACCACTCCTGTTCGTGGTAGATTACAACATAGAGTAGCAGATTGGAAGACTGGACCTTGAGGTCCACTGGCCACTGAAATGGAGCAGCAGTAAAGTAAAGTTGTTGTTTTTTTTTGTCTGTGTGCTCTAACTTTAGGACTCTAAGCTATGAATTCCATCGACAAATTCTGTCGGATAGCTGCAGGCTTCAAAAGGCAAACAACTATAAAGATTGCCAACATTCTGAAAGTCGTGTTAAAAAATTTTTTTCTACATTTTGCTTTTTTTGTAAGAGATCTCACGGGATTCTGATGCTGAAGACTATGCGCTCCGATTTGATTCAGCAAAGGCATTTTCAGTAATAAAGACATTAAAGAAGAAATGCTGCACAGAGATTTGGCATCGAGCACACACACTTATTGTGTGGCCCAGCCTGTTTGCCAGACTGATAACCTCCAGATGTTTGCTCCGGGGCTCAAGGTCTGCAGGCCTTAAGACCACCCCAGCAGTTTGCACCATGCCGGGAGCTAGGAGCTGCCAGCTGGATGTGCCTGACTTTGGGTTCCAGGAGCTCCTGCCACAACAGGGGATACACTAACTGACTTCTTATCTCACATTTAAGCACACACACACACACACACACACACACACACACACACACACACACACACACACACACACACACACACACACACACACACACACACACACACACACACACACACACACACACACACACACATCAAACAGGGACATGCACAGACAGATACACCCGCGGATACATTTGTGCTTTTAGATTTTTTTATACGTAAGTACACATCCCTCCATCAAGGCCAGCATGTGTGATCTCCCATGTGTGCACAGATACACACACAACAAAAGACAAAATAAAATCCCCATACCATAATAAGCACATGTTGTGGTTTCCCAGAAGCCCAACGAGAGCTTGTTTCATATTTTCCTTCTCTTTGTAATTCTGTTGCTGTCATAATGCCAGCAGCATTTCATCTGCTATGCTGTTTGAAAGTGACAGTCACGTGCAGCCGCTACGCAGAAATCATCCACAGGCAGACTCACAATAAAACATATCTCTCTTTCACGGTCTGTCTTTTTGCACGATTGTCTCTTTTCTTCTTTCTTGATTTCTTTCAAACGAGTGTCGGACCCTGACCGATTAACTATTTCAACCTTGTTATCTTCGGGTCTTGATCAGCAGGCAGATTGTTGTATAGGGAGTCTTTTCATTCATTGTATTTTTGCTGATGGCTGGGATAAAAGATAAGGGCTTTATCAGAGGTGACGTGCACTGAGCATAGATGAGGAAGAACAGCGCAGTGGCACAGCTCTTTATACTGTATGTACTCACTCCAAATGTCAGACATCTTCAGAAGGATTATTCACACCGCTGCCCTTCCAGTTGTTCAAGAGGGTAGTGCACAGGCACAGCAGCTTATGGACCTCTCCGTTGGTCTGTTAGAAGAATCGACATTGGTGCGAGATGGTCTTCTAAATATAAATCTAAGACCATGACTAGGGATGCATTGATACCAAATTTCTTCACATGTGCATATATTTGTCTAACATGGATATGAGTATTAAATAAGTGGACTTCTTCTCACTTAAAATACCTCTAATTTACTAGTCTTGTGTTGGAAATCTCTTGTCGAACTCCAACTTACCATCAAATAGCCTCTCACCACTCTGTGCCCTCTTATGTTGATCCTCTGCAAAAAAACATGTAATAATTAGGTATTGACCTCCGTTTTAATCGGAGATTATTTATGTAGCGCTTTGAAAGTCAAACGGCAGCCCCTGCATAACTTGCAGCAATGTCATGGAGACCTAAAGCAATGACTTGGAACCAACAATCTTTGTGACCCTTGCATGGATCTGCCAAATAGAGTTGCCTTTGTGTAGGAAACGTGCTGTATAAATAAAGTTGTCTTGTCTTGTCAAGTGATACTTCTGGAGCCTAAGCCTAGTTTATACTTCTCCGTCTGCAGGGATGTTGAGACGCGTAACACCATCATCCATTGAGGCAAGCGTTCTGCCGCAGGTCAAAAGAGGGGAACAAAGATATACCCCAAATTTTAACTGTCTACTCAAATCTACAGAACATGAACCTGTGATTGTTCAATCTAATTCATCAACAGCTTATTTCCACACTTCACATTAGAGAAGCACAAAGAACCACAGCAAACCTTTCATTCGTGAAGGGAAGTTGCAGGAGGTATGGGTTTGGAGATAGCCGACCGCTTTAAGAGGTGCAGTAGGAAATGCATGTGTACAACTCAGACACACGTATATAATTGTAAATACACTGTCGTCGATCAGAGACGTGTCTGCAATAGTTTAAAGGACTTTGTTGCAAACTGCCTCAAATTTGAAAAAATCAAGCCTCAGTTTCTATCCTAACTGCACACAGAACCAGCTCTCCGAAAGGCTGTGAGCTGAGCCCACTAATATACTCATTCTATACATTTGTATGCAGACCAGCACATCCCAGCAACACCTTCTTCTTATTTGCTGTCTAAAGAGAACTAGTCTGTACAGGAAGGAGGTACTGAAGCTGACAGCCTGGATCTCCGTGTGACCTTCTGCCCCCTGTGGGGTTCTGTGGGTGCAAAAGAACAACTATTGTCAGAAGCAGATTCCCTTCCAAAGCCATAATTATTAAACTGATTTTTGTGTCATAAAACTAAAATAATCTGCCCCTTATTTTCACTGTTGTGTGTAATACATCATCAGTGACAGGGCGTTGTTAGTTTACTTGGGTCTGTTATATTCTGAGCCATTTTGGGGATTTTTTTTTACATGTTTTTCCCACTCCACCTTAAGACGATGGTTTGATTAATTATATTTTCTAGTCCAGTGGTAGCCAATCTTGGTCCGTGAGTGATGCTCTAAAGCATGTTCTGGTTGTTTCCCTGCTCCAGCACATCTGAATTTAATCAGTGGGTTCCTACGTTGCTGCATCCTGCCTAGCTGAACCCTCAATCCTGGCCGTGTCGAGCACTGCACTTTGCTTTCTCTCCAGTTAATGTGAACAGACTGAGAGTTAAAGCAAAGGATGAAAAATATTCTGTTTTTGCTCGAGCATAGCTTGCAGCCTGCCTCTATCACGGCCAAAGGTGTGACCTGATAGCACAAACTGCTTGCTGACATTTGGCGCCGCAACGTGTCTTCCATTGCTGCGTGCTGTGTGACTGCATCATGTGCTGTGTGTCCAGGTGGGATTAGTGGGAGGATTTTCACTGTGCTTCAGGTGACAAAACGACACGCAGCAAGTGTGTGTGTGTGTGTGTGTGTGTGTGTGTGTGTGTGTGTGTGTGTGTGTGTGTCTGTGTGTGTGTGTGTGTACGTGCGCGCTCGGGGCACAGACTCAACAATAGGATTAGGTGGATTACAGCTATACAACCATATTACACATGAGGATAGCAGAGAGGAACGAGGGAAAACGCTCTCTTACACACCCTTCTAACCCTTATTTCACCAGGCAAATGGTGTAGGAACACAATCTTCTCTCTGCAGCTAAAGCTGAGGGCTTCACAGCAGGGGGCCAAGAGGGGGATTGTTTATATCCATACATTCCTACAAAAGGGATGAGCATAGAATTTCTGTAACATGTTCAGAAGCTTCAAAAAAGATGCAAGCAGAGCACAAAGGGAGATGATTTTTGGTCCAAAATCGAACACTGAGGAAAGAGTTTTCATTTTGGCACGAGAACACAACTGCAGGATTCTACATCACCCAAACAAACATGGCATCTCTAACATGTGGAGTAGTCTGAGATGGTCCCACCGTCTCAGGCTGAAGTTATGGATGCATTACAGACCGTTGTGTCCTACGGAGACTTTTGTGACAACAAATGTTGCAGGGTTACCACGTAAAGCTTTCATGGAGTTCTCTCTCTCTCTCTCTCTCTCTCTCTCTCTCTCTCTCTCTCTCTCTCTCTCTCTCTCTCTCTCTCTCTCTCTCTCTCTCTCTCTCTCTCTCTCTCTCTCTCTCTCTCTCTCTCTCTCTCTCACACACACACACACACACACACACACACACACACACACACACACACACACACACACACACACACACACACACACACACACACACACACAAGAGGATATAATTGTAAATAAATATGTGTGCATAATATGTTTGGCTTTTCCTTCAGATCAGCTTCGAGGAAATGCTGTCAAGAGTGTGGGACCCCCAACCCAGGGTTATCAAGTTTTCTCGAAGACATCAGAGAGGCTCCTCTGCCAATGGGCTGAGGCGACAGAAGAGAGACTGGGTCATCCCTCCCATCAATGTCCCTGAAAACTCCCGAGGACCCTTCCCCCACATGCTTGTCAGAGTGAGTGACAGTATCACTTTATCAAATACCATAAACATATTTTCCTGGAGTGAAATGTTTCCTCAAAAGTTTTTATAAGACTTGCAGTCGCAGAGAAAATAAGAATGAAAGGATTCATTCAAGCTGAGGAAAAGAGTTTGGTTGATACTAATTGTTATTTTATATTCACCAAGACTCCAAAATACCCAACATTCTGGTGTTTTCTATTCTATCTGTAAACGCTGGTTCAATGAATACCACCACATTTACTTGTGAACAAAGTCATAATTCTAGCTAACTTCACAACTGGCCTCGGAGCAACAAAACAATAGAGAGAGAGAGCGAGAGAGAGAGAGAGAGAGAGAGAGAGAGAGAGAGAGAGAGAGAGAGAGAGAGAGATGCTGTGATGGAGGAAGCTCACCTTGCATTGTGTTGAGTAAACACTGCTGCACTGCTGAGATGTCCAGTGCTCTGAGTGAAGGAGGGTGGTGCAACAAATCTGAAATAAACTCAGGTGTTTTGAAAATTAACAAAACATTTTTATGATAGATCTGGAAGCTAATGAGAATCTGGAGAGGGTGGTACTGGGATCACATCATCCTTTTCTGCTCACATGGTTAGCTTCTGCTTTTTTGTCAAACCATGAGCAGTAAAGATATTTATGATTTAACCCATAATATGTGGCACTGCAGTACTGTTGGTTAAATATTATAGATGCATGAATAATTTGTTCAACTTCATTACAGGAAGTCCAGAGACTTGGGCCACTGCCATGTATTTCAGACCCAATTTTTATGGTTGTATGGTATAAGGCCACCAATATTGTTCAACAGTTGGGCATCATTTAATTGATTTTCAACATTTTGATAGATATTTCCAGAGATTAACAGTAAAAACTACACATTGTTTATTTAGGACTGTTAGGCAGCAGTTTGATGCCATCTTTGTTCAGTTTCAGAAGTTGATAATCTTGATTTTTACCTATTAGGGCCGTGATATATTTGCTGTTTAACCTCGCATTGGCGCAGGCAGCAGGCTGCGTCTTTGTTCGCATACTTGTTGCTGCACAGCACTGTACTGATTTCCCTCTTTCCTATTCATTCTCTCTCTTTCTTTACATTTTTTTATCACAATTGTCTATTTTTTGCTCATTTGAAATATATTTTTAATCATTTTCTAAATTCTTTTTTATATTTTAACATTTTTTGTTTTTGTGAAGCGCCTCGCGATTTCTATCATGAGAGGCTATAGAGCTCCGGACGTCATGTGACTCAGAGAGTAGACGCCATGTTGGCAGGCAACAAATGTAAACAAAATGAATGGGGTCGGCTTGGATTTTACTCGTCGGAGTTTACTTCACACTTTAAAACTGAAGAAATCGTTTTATATAGTCAGAAATTAAATAGACTAAACATCTCTGACCCTTACCGTACCCCTGGGATACTTTTTAAAAATGCCAGAAGCTGTCGGAGAGGACTTCTTACTGGGCCTGGCCAGGGAACGCCTTGGGATTCCCCCGGAGGAGCTGGCCCAAGTGGCTGGGGAGAGGGAGGTCTGGGCCTCTCGACTGACTGCCCCCGCAACCCGACTCCGGATAAGCAGATGAAAATGGATGGATGGACAAATAACATAGATTTACATGTAATAAGTTTAAATAGAGTGCTGTGCTGTTTGAATGTATAAACTGAATGCCAAGACAAATCACTAGATTTTTTTCCGTGAATAAAATAAATATGTCAGGCAGGAGTGTCTCAGGATCTGTCTGAGATCTGTCTCGGTGACACAGATAATAGCAATCCAAAGTGCTTTTTATGTGTGATCTGACAATTGATCAACCATTGCTTAAAAATGAAATACAGCTTAGCCGGTTAATTGCTGTGATCATAAAACACGGAAACGGCAGCACGCAGAAATCACGAGGCAACGTTTTACGTGATGTTTACTTGTTGCTATGAGTAATAAGACAGAAAAAGCCACGCCAGAATAAGTTTAGGAAGCCCACTAAGAATCGTAATAAAAGCATTTAAAATAAATACCATACACAGTCAAGGAAACATTGTTTAAGTACCTGATATGAAGTGGTCGCTGCATAAGTGAAAACCTTTACTCTCGGGATGCCACAGTTTCATTTTAGCCCGGTCACTAGCACATTTTATTACAATGATCCAATGTTTGCGGCGCTCCGGATCTTGGGGCATCCTGTAGATGGCTCATTCCTTATGCCGTCCGTGTCTGTTCTGCATCCTGGGGCACAACAGGAATCTACCATATTTCCTGTTTGATTGAGTTTTCTGACAATAACAAAGAGTCCAGCTGCGGGCTTCTGCCTGCCAATATGGCGCCGTTTCAATTTGAACTGTTGCATGCCGGGAGAAGTGACGTCAACTCCCAGAGCTCTATAGAAAAGATCTTTTCTTCTTGTTCTTCTGCATGTAGTACTGGAGGTTACCGCTAGGGGCCGCACTAAACTACTCAGACCGGACAGAGAGCCGGGTTTGTGGGTACAACCAAAACAAAACATGGCATCAATAGAAGAGTTCAGTAACTGCTTATTTTCAATTTCACGGCAGAAAAAAAGACAGCTGCGGTACCAATGGTATGAAAGGCCACTAAACCAGAGACACCGTGAGTGTGTCTCACTCGTTTTGTCAACTCCACCTACTGGTTGCTCGTATATTGCAGTGTTTGGGTGTGTTGCGTTAATTTCGGGGGATGCTCACAAACAACACTTAAAACACGCGTTTCTTTATTAAACAACAAGAATATCATTGCCCTTAAGGATCAACCATGGAGACAGCATAGGAATTATAATAAAAAATAAACAAAACAAAAATGAACGACAGAGCCTAGAATCTGGCCCTGAGGGACACCGTAGCAAAATGGGGATGTAACTGAGGAGAACTAACCTGCGTGGACAGTGAGAGTCTTACCATCTATGCCTGGACCCTATTTTCCACACACAGCTTAAGGCATGAGAGAAAGATCAGAGTTAAAAAATGCAAATGAGCTTAAAGGCAAAACAGCAGTGTTCTCAGTTAGAAGAAGAAGAAGAAGAAGAAGAAGAAGAAGAAGAAGAAGAAGAAGAAGAAGAAGAAGAAGAAGAAGAAGAAGAAGACATCTTTTCTATAGCACCTCTCAAGATAAAAATCACAAGGCGCTTCACAAAAACAAAAAATGTAAAAATATAAAAAATAATTTAGAAAATGATTAAAAATATATTTAAAAAATAGACATTTGTGATTAAAAAATGTTAAGAAAGAGAGAGAGTGAAAAGGAAAGAGGGTAATCAGTGGATTCTGAGGAAGGTGGAATAGGTGGGGAGAACAGAATAAAGAGAGAGTGGTGAAGAAGGTCATACAAAAGCCAGATTGAACAAGTGAGTCTTCAGCTGCTGTTTAAAGGAGACCACTGGGTCCACTGATCTCAGGCTCAGGGGGAGAGAGTTCCAGAGTCTGGGGGCCACAGCAGCAAATGATCTGTCACCTTTTGTCTTTAGCCTGGTGCTGCACAACCAGTAGGCTTTGATCACTGGACCTCAGGGACCTGCTGGGGGTGTAGGGACTAAGAAGAAAACAGTAGATCATAAAAAAATCTTTTAAAATTGTGTTTTTATTGCTGACACAATGAATTAATTAGCTAAAACTTTAGACAAGAAAGACAGTTTAGAAATATTAGAAAAAGAGAGTGGTCAACGTTTTGGGGAATTGGGTTGACTGGATCCAAACTAAAAAAAAAAACAACAATATAAGAATATCTTTTCCAAGATACCAATAAAATATATATTGTTCTGTGAAATGCTTCTGCTCACATATCTCTCAGTTTATGTCTAATAAAAACAAGCCAAACTTAAAGCAAACTGGAATATAAGAATGTATTAATTAGAGTCCCAAAGATATAAAAAAAATCTGTGACTAGTTTCATATGGAGGCGTTGTTATTTCCTGTCTATTTTAATCTCTCCACACACACTGCCTCTTATCAGTCACCTACACAGACATTCTTTTTGACATGAAGGAACACACACACACACACACACACACACACACACACACACACACACACACACACACATTAAGTACCTTATGCCCGTTTGTACACCATGGCTCACACTCCCGGATTACAGAAATCGCTTTTCACCAATGTGTTGGGAAGTGGGCAGATTTTCCACCAAAGCAACACACACACACACACACACACACACACACACACACACACACACACACACACACACACACACACACACACACACACACACACACACACACACACACACACACACACAAACACACACACACATACACACACACAAAGCAGGTTATGGAGTGTCACAGGAGGCATATAAATTGCCCTGCCCTGTTGGAGGAATGGAACCTTCTTTTATTCCCTTTTTACGCATCGGGGTGTTGCGTGGTTGGATTAACCAGGGACCTTCTCTGTGTGCCCATGTCCATGCTGAGGCTGGGTTGGTTTCAATGTGGGTTTGTGTCTCTATCAGATTTCCTTTTTTGAGCCGAAAGCAGTGCAGCATGGGATTTGTGGCTCTGAGTGTGTCTGTTTCCGGCTCTTTCTGCAGCATAACTGCGTTCTGTCAAGCAGCCAAGGAGAGACGAGTGTAGTGGGGATTCTGCACTTTATCTCGTCAGTCTCAGATGTGGCCAAGAACAACTTTTAGAGTTTACACACGGATTTAAAAACACACCATCTCCTGTGCTGAAAAATCGTTGGGGGGTGGGACTCTACTCGTATACCCACATAAACAGGTGCATCAGCTTAAAAAGGGCCAGTTAACTCTCAGAGAATAACCACCGCCTTGGAAATGAAACAAATAACATGTCAAAAGAGATGTGTGGTGGTCTTTACTTTGATTCTGTTGGAGCGCTGCAGAACTTTGACACAGTGCATAATGAGGGGTTAATGTAGCTCTTCTGTGCTAAGATCCTAATTACACAGATAGCTCCATTAACACATGAGGAGCTAAATCCTTCCATTCGCTGCAGGCGAGCTTAATCGTTAGCAATAATC